TTTGAAGACATTAATAGTTATATACTTATATCAATTAGAAAAAAACATCTCCTGTGACTCAGTTCTGTGATTTTAGGCTTGTTTTTGGTTACAACCAGCCTGATGTAGGTACGCTGTGAGCACATCACATTTTCATGGGTGGGCGAAGGGCCATGGCATGGAGCAGTTAAGGAAACAGACTCTGAGGCCAGGTTTTCAAATGCTGGCTTCACGCCTCACTGGCTGTGTGACTTCGGACAGATTCTTCAACCTCTCTGTGCCTTGGTTTCCTCTGTATAATGGTGTTGCTAAGGGCAGCGTCTGCTGCGCGGAATGATTTTGATGATTAAATGCAAGATTACACGTGTGCTGTAAAACACGGCTCTTCTGGCTCGCTGCTTTGTAGACGCTGGCTCTTCGTTTTATCACCCAGACACGGAACATCTAGTGACCGTGGCGTGCACGTGGAGGAGGGGAGTCCCAGGTGAGCCCGGGCGACACCTGGGGAAGTTGCTTGACCACCACGGTCCTGCTCTCACTCTTGCCAGGGGCTCCGGAAGGCTTCCTGCGCCGAGGCACGCTACCCTGGGTTTCATTTCTCTTAATAGCACGTTTGGGAGGAACGTTCTGGAAAGCCCTTTTTCAAACTTTCACAAAGAGTGAACACCAGCACTACAGACCCGACTTTTGTCGACTGAAGCTGTGGTTAACGGAGCCGGTCTGGGTGCCGAAGAAAAAACTTCATGCGGGATTATCATCTGCCCCCTCCCCTTGCTGTTAGCCCCCATGGGGCCCTCATCTTGTCCCCTGCCCCCCCCTTTCTCTCTCTCCTCCCCAGCGTCTTGGCTGTTCATCCAACCAAGGAAGACGGATCCAAAATCCCCCAGGGTTCTCTGGCATCTTACATGTTACATCTTACCCTTCACCCCTATAGACTATGCCTCGCAATATCTACTTACAAACACGGTATCTCTAACCCTATCAGCGGCTGTGACCTTGACATGCCCTTGTCAACATATCATTTCCACAGTGATTCCCTTTCCATGTCTCCCTTCCTCGGGCCCCCCAGTGCCAGCACCCCACTAGGCTCTGGCTTCTGCCAAGAAGTCCCAGGAACCTGTTTGGTCCTAACTCTGCCCACTGGATCCTGGCTGCTCGTGTGGGCAGGATGCAGACCACTCCGCCACCCACGGGCTCTGTGTCGTTGTGGTTCCGGGGCGCTCCCCGCTGAGGCAGGACACAGATCAGACCCCAGCCTCCCTGCAGTGGGCTTAGCCAGATCACCAGCTGTGCAGCACAGGTCCTGGCTCTGGGGACCTGGCTTGCTCCCTTGCTAAGTCTCAGAACTTACTCCAGCCCCGTGACAAGCAGGGAGGCCCCCATCACTGCCATGGCTGTCCCGTCTTGTCAGGGCAGGGTCCCCACCCCCCAGCTTGTTGCCCCTGCTTGTTCAGGATAAGCAGCAGACTCCTCACCAAGCCCAGCTGCCAGAAGGAATCCAGCCACTGGTAAGACTCAGAGACCCAGCTACCACCTTCTCCATCCTGCAGTCCCACCTCCCCCCTGGCTCCTGACAGGCCATATTCCACGTGGTGGCCAGAGGGACCTTGTTCAGATGCAAAGCAGGTCTGTACCAAGTCCCTCCCCTGGCCCCTATTCACCCCTGTGGCCCTATCTCAGCGGCCCTGCCCTCATCCGCCATGCTCTGGCCTGCCACCTTCTTTCTGATTCTTGAGCCAATTGAGCAGCTCTTTCCTACCTCAGGGCCTTTGCACAGGCTTTTCCCTTCTGCAAAGGGCTAGTCCAGATCTCAGGTCACATCCCCAGTTCTCGGAGAGGCCTCCTCTAACCACGCTGCCCAGCCACCATGCGGTTGCCCACTGAAATAGCAACACCAAGAGAGCAGGAACACTGCGTTGCCCATTGGATCACCAAGGTCTGGACCAGGGTGGGCATGTAGTAGGTGCTCAGCACACAGGTTTCTGGCGAGGTCCAAGAAGATAACCAATGACCTGCTGCCTTACCCAGAACTCCATCGAGGACTGGACTGGGCCGGACTGGGGCCCCAGGCCTGTGCCCCACGGCCCAGCCTCCCCTGCTGGCCCGGCCCATGGACCACGGCACATTCCCAGGATGCTCACTGCCGGCCCCAACTGCTGCCCTGATTCCCCAGCCCGATGCTCCACATACAGACTAGAAAGCCAGTAACACTGCCTGAGTCACAACCAAGCTAGTCAGGGCCACCCCCAGGTGCCTCCAAAGCCACCTCTGTGACCAGCAGGCCCAATGGGGTGGAGGGGGGGACGGGCAGCGTGGCACAGCCATCCAGAACATGGGCCCCGAAGCCTGGGTGTGAATCCCTGCCTTGCTGTCCTGTTACTCCAGGCAACGAAGCTCCATGTTCTTCATCTGTGAAATGGGAGAAGGGGGTAGCACTACCCATAGGGATTTCCTGGAGTTTGCTGCCTGGCACCCACTCCCTCTGCCTCTGGGGACAGTGCCAGTGTCTCCCTCACAGAACCACCCCTGGCTCAAGCTCCAAGGCTTTGCTGGCTGCTTGGGAATGGACCCCCCTGAGCTAACCCTGCCGAGCATTTGCTCTCAGCCAAGTGATCCCCTAAGCGGCCTATCCATCCAGCTCTTTCACCCTGAGAGCAAACCCTCGGAGGAGGGTGTTCTTCTTCTCTGTTTGCTGATGGAAGAATGAGGCCCAGAGAGGTTAAGTAACCTGCCTGGGGTCCAGAGCTAGTAGGTGGTCAGGCTTGTTTTCTGCCAGCCTCGCTGGGCTACAGGCTGCTAGTGACCCTCTCACCACCCTTAAGAGTCCACCCTGGCACAAAGGGCACAAAGAACATTGGCGTGGAAGATGGGCGGAGGAAGGCTGCTGATTTTTATTGCCTGGATCCAGCTGGGCCTAAAACCCCACCACCTTTGGACTTTTTAGTTACACGGGCTGATGCGGATTCTTTCCCTTAAAGATGCTCTTTTAAAATCACTTGCTATCTAACACGCCTTCCCTAGTATTAGCGTGTTTTTTCCTTCAGCTGGGTTTTGGGTGGTGTTAAGAATTAATCAGATACTGGTGCTGCTCTGTCCAGGGCCCCTCAGCCAAACCTCTGCCCACAGCCCTGCGGCAGGGGGCACTGGGGCGGGTGTGTAAGAACCTGGCCCCCTGGCTCTGGGGTGGGGAGCAGAGGGAAGACGCAGAAGCTTGGGTCCAGCACCGCCCCTTAGAACTCCCCAGCCAAGAGGCACTCCCCCCTAGCTTGTTTGACGATACAGTTTGGACTCCTTCCCTTTCCTGTCCCCCACGGGGAACCAGCTCGCAACTAAATGACTCGTTCTCAAACCCTTACCTCAGGGCTGGCTTCCAGGGGAATCCGAACAGAGACAGTGTTTACAGAACTGGAGGGAGTGTTCAGTAAGTGACGGCTGTTGTTATTTCTCTTCTTCCGTCTGCCCTGAGCTGCTGGGACATTCGAGCCCAGGCCTCAGGCTCGGGGAGCACGTGTGCAGATTGTCAGACTGTGACTCAGTGGGGAGGGAAGGGGGCTCCCACCGCCAGGTCCCTGGGCCTGTCCCTGCAGGAGACGGTCCCTCCGGACCCCCAGGATGGATGGGATGCCTCAGCGACAGGGGGCAGGGCCCCTGGCTCAGATGGGCCGGCTGGAGGTGGAGTTGGCCCAGGGCACCCCAGGGTTCCAAATTATTGGGACACCAGGCTGCCTTGGATTCTCTGACGTCCCTTGGGTTGCAGAAACCAGAAGCCAGTGGCTTCCACAGGGGCACTCTACCACCAGATCTGAGCAGGGCCTCAGGCCACAATGATCCATCTACAGCCTGCAGGGTAGGGGGTCTGCTGGTCAGGACAGAGCCCGGAGCCACTCCACAGGGCGTGGCGCCTCCATCAGCCGCTTTGCAGCTGCTTGGCTCATCACTGGCTCTGTGCCTCAGCCCTCATCTGTGAAATGGGGACAGTCTCTGGAACTCCCTCAAAGGCTGTGTGTAAGGATTATAATTTATTACAAATGACATAACCAAAAGCTGACGGTGGGGCCTGGCTCACAGTAAGTACTGAGTGAATGTGGCCTCTCGTCTCATTAGAAGAGCAACAGGCTGACTTCACCATAATCTCTTTGGCACAATTAGAATTCAGTACCATTGGCATGCATCAACATCCATATAAAGTAAAAAATAATCACCTCAAAGCAAAACCAAAACTAAAAGAGATTTTCAATTAGAGCCACATCTTGGTTATTGAACGAGTGTATAGCTGTGATGGCTGATTTTATGTGTCTATTTGACTAGGCCACAGGGCACCTAGATATCTGGTTAAACACTACTCTGGTTTCTGAAAGCTGTTTTTGTTTTTGTTTTTAATGTTTTATTTATTTCTGAGAGAGAGAGAGAGGAGAGAGAGAGAGATAGCATAAACAGGCGAGGGTCAGAGAGAGAGGGAGATACAGAATCTGAAACGGGCTCCAGGCTCTGAGCTAGCTGTCAGCACAGAACCCAATGCGGGGCTCGAACCCACAAACTGTGAGATCATGACCTGAGCCGAAGTCAGATGCTTAACTGACTGAGTCACCCAGGCGCCCCCCGAAAGCCGTTTTTGGATGAGGGTAACATTTCAGGTGGAGAATAAAGCAGATTACCCTTCAAGATGTGGGTGGGCCTCGTCCAATCAGTTGAAGGGCCTGGATTGAACAGAAAAAGACTGACCCTCTCCCAAGCAAGAGAGAATCCTCCAGAAGACTGCCTTTAGACTTCACCTGCAACTTTGACCCTTCTGGTGTGATGGCCTGTGTACTCAACACTGGGTCTTCCTACAGATTGGACATTTACACACACACTATATGGTTCTGGTTCTCTGGAGAGCTTGACTAGCAATGCATTTAGGAAAGGTGAGCTCGGGCCTTGGCAAAGAGGCTAACACAGCAAAGACTACTCTATCACGACATCCCCCTGAGAGTGACCCAGGCCCAGCCCCAGCCCTGCTCCGGCGCTTCCAGAACTCTTACTTGAACATGCCTTCTCCTGGTCTGGGAGCACAGCAGAGGGGTGGGGGTTCAGGTTCAACTCGGGTCTGCTGGGAATGAAAACCTCAGCATTGTCCTTCCGCTTAGCAGACAAATTCCTTTCCTTCTTATTACCTGTAGGAAAACAGTGGTTTCTATGTCAAACATGGAGCACAAGCAGGGTTGGGGTATTCTGCTTGGGTATCTGTTGGTTTGGTCACTTATTCATTCAACAAACATTTGCTGAACCCCTACGCTGTGCCAGGCACCGTGCTAGTTGGGAACAGAGGTGTGCATGATGCGGTACATTTTGGCAAATAAATGAAACATTCTCGGATACATTCTAGGTATAGGTTTTCAGATTTTAACATTTCTGGGAGAGAAGAAGGTTCCAGAGCCACAGAAGGGCACGCATCTGGGAGCACGTGGCCAGCAGGTGTGCAGCAGACAGGGAGGAGGGCCCTGACAGGTGACCCGCATGTGACGAGAGGCATGGAGATGGGGCATTCCAGACACAGGGAACAGAGTGTGTGAACAGCGAAGGGCACACAGGCCATGCTTTCAAGCCAACATTTCCCAAAGTAAGTTGCCTGTGCCACGGCGGGGGGGGGGGGGGGGGGGCAGGAAACGATGCCAGATGCCACATGGGCAAACGTTTTTTTAAGCGATTATTTCAGTGAACACGCATGGAAAAAGCATGTAACCAACCTTTCAAATCCTTGCTTTCATTTATGTCATTGCTTAGAACAATCTTAAAACTATTAAAGACAGGAACGAAAGAGAAAGGAAGGTGGGGGGAGAGAAACAGAGAGGGAGAGGGGGAAAGAAAAGAGCGGTTCTGGTTGAAACAACACCTCAAACAGTACAGGAGGTTTGTGGAGATGGCAAAAAACCAAAAACACACACACAAAAACACAAAAACCCCTCTGACTCCAGAAGGTCAGCAAGTGGCTCCAGCTCAGGGGAAATGGCGCCGGGGCCTCCGGCCAGGCAGGTGTAAGGGCACGGGAAGGATGCCCTCGGGCCAGCGGGCAGGCGGCAAGGCCGGTGGCTGAGTGGAACCGACCCTGTCCGCTGGGAGATCAGTCAAGGTCCCAGGGCTCGGGACTTCCTGGCCTGGGAAGGCAGGAGGCCCCGGAACTGTCTGCGGAAGGGCAATGTCATAGGAGTCCCAGCAGAGCCATCCCGGGGGCCTCTGGGGGCCCAGAGCAGAGGGAGTCCCAGAATCCAGGCCCCATGGGATTCTCGGGGGCTCGGAATGGAGTCTGCGGGCTTGTGCGGGGTGTCCCCCACCAACCTCTCCCCCATCCCCTGCTGACTTGACGGAGGAAATGTATTTCTCTACATACTTCGGAAGTCACTGCTCCTGACCGGCCTGAAATGTAGACCCAAGGATGACATTCAGGACCCGCTAGGTCCTATGGGACAAGACAAAGAAGGGAGGGGGCAAATGACCACAAGACTGGCTCCCCACATTCCGAAAACACGCAGCCGCTAAGAGCGACAGCCCGCCCTGACTGGGTTCGGCCCCAAGTGCCCAGGCGCGGGGCCAGGTCCTTCCCTGGACATCGCAGGGGTGGATGGGATGGGAGGCACCCAGTCACAGGGCAAAGGGGGATCAACACTGCTGATCAGCTGACCTTAAATGAGGGAGATCACTTTGGATTATCCTAGTGGATCCGATGGAAGCCACCAGTGTCCTTAAAAGTAGAAGAGGGACAGAGTTTCAGTTTGGAACGATGAAAAACTTGTGGAGCTAGATCGTGGTGATGGTGACTGTCCTTAATAACATACCAAATGGCACTCTCAACAGTGAATATGGTAAATCTGTGCCGTGTGTACTTGACCACAATAAAACACATCCATGCACAGGCACAAGGGAGAGGGCAGCAGAGGAGGAGGGCGAAAGGGAAATGAGATCTGGAAGAAAGGTACAGAGGGACTTGGCCCCGCTGGCTCTGAAGGCAGAGGGAGGGGCCCTGAGCCAAGGAATGCAGAAGCCTGTGGAAGCTGGAAAAGGCCAGAAAAGATTTTCCTCCAGGGCCTCCAGGAAGCTCACAGCCTTGCTGACACCAAGGTTTTAGCCCAGTGAGCTCATGTCAAACTCCTGGCCTATAGAACTCTAAGATAATAAATTTGTGTCATGTCAAGCCACTGAGTTTGTCATCATTTGTTACAGCAGCGACAGAGGACTAATACATACTATTACAGAATAGGGCTCTGAGGTTCAGGCTGTTGGCCCAAGGTCACAGAGCTAGAGAGAGATAGAAGTGGGTGTTCGCCAGGCCTGCCTGGCTGGGAGCCCTGCCCTGAAGCACGTTATTCCCTGTCTACCACCCCTTCCTCTGGATAAGATGACCCTCCGAAACCGCGGCCCCCAGGCCTGCCTTGCCTATGCAAAGTCTACACGAGGATATTTTCTAGGGCTCCAAAGGACCCAGACCCTTGGGGCTACCCTGGAGTCCTGGAGTCTTCACAGAAGGTAGCCTGAGACCCCCACCAGCCTCCTCATGCACCACACTCCCCACACGCTCACCGGCCCTTTCTCTGTCCTCGGGTGCACCAAGCTCATTCCTTCTTCGAGCCCTTCGCACTTGCTACTCCCGGCCCTTGGAATGCTGTTCCACAGCTGCTCCCTCCTCGTGTCCATCCCAGCTTCACCATCGTCTCCTCTGAGAAGCCTCCTCTGACCACTGCAGCCTGCAAGGCTCTTCTCTGACACTCAGCCCCCCACCCATGTCTTGTTTTATAATCTTCCCCATGTTCAAGGTTATTGGGGCACCATTGTCTCCTCCTCTCTAAATTCCTAAGCTGGCCCATGACCTGGCCTTTGCCTTTCCAGTTTTGGGAAAAATAACTTTGCTTTTCTCTGTGCCACTCACGTGCTGGCCCTCACTCACAAGAGGACACGTGGGATGGGACAGGGAGGGCAGGAAGCCATCAGAGCTCAACTCAGCCACTCTGCTCCCTCCTCTAGTGGGCTCACCCTCAGGGCACATGCGCCTTACCACCCCCCCGCCCCCGCTCCCCCAATGGTGCCATTAGTGGCCCAGCTCTGTCAGCATCTGGGATTAGAGGTCAGCCTACTTGATGGCAGCAATGTGGCCCTTCTCAGTTGGAAAGGTGGATCGTTTGCTCTCCTTCTAGCAGATTCCCAAACCCATCTCCCATTTGTTTCAATTAGGAGGGAAGAGAGCGAGATTACTTACTGGCTCCTCAAAGCCCAACTACTGCTTTGTGACTTTACCTGGCTTATTTATTTAGCCTAGTGATTAAGAGCTCAGGCTCTGGGCTCAGACGCCTGCAGACTTAACCCCACTCTGCCCCCCACAGCTGTGTGACCTTGGGCATGTTACCTGACCTCTCTGTGCTTCAGTTTCCCCATCCATTGAGCAAGTGCAATGACAGGGCTTGCCCTGGTGTTGTGGCAAGGACTACATGAGTCATGCCCGTGGAACAGTACTTGGCATGTGTGTGTAAGGGTTCTGCAAATGTTGACAATTGTCATTACTGGTTTGTGTGTTTGCTTGGATTAAGTGCCCCAGGAGAAGAGACTGGGCCTCTCTTGTCCCAGCACAGTACCTGGGGCACAAATGCATCCAGTGAGAAAAATGAATGAACCGCCCAGAACCAAGCACCTCTCTTCAGGACGCTATTGACTGTGTCTGAGTAAATGTTGAGGATTAGTTCGCATTCCAGTACCACACCGGGGTCCGGGGCAACCTTGCAAAGGCCATCACCCTCCACCTGCTCCTCTCCGTGAGTGTGCCCTCCTGCTGGGGCTAACTAAGCAGCCAGAAGCTGCAGACGAGGGGCCCCTGGAGGCACGCATCCACCCCTCTGTGGCTCCAGATGAGACAGCCCCATCCCACGGCAGACATCACCGTAGGCAGCATGAGGCCTGCCAAATGAGCTCATGGTGAAAAAATGCCAAATGTCAAGAAAGTGATGTTCTTGCTTTTTGTTTCATGCTCCGGTTTCCCTCTCCTATAGTGCCGGGGGCCCAGCTGTTCTCTGTCTGTGGCCTGGTCCTTCAGCCCGCAAGTGACTGTTGTGCCCTCTGTTTCCGCGATGGGGGGCTGGTGCAGTCTCCTTAGAGCCCTCCCCTCACCCTCTCCCCTCTTTGGAGAAAACACACTCCACTGCTTGCAGCCCCAGCACATCTTGCAAGTCTGTCAACACCTCCTCACCCTCAGGGCGCAGTAGCAGGCGGGCATAAAGCCGTCATGGGTTTGACCACAGTCTCCTGGGTGGCTTGAATGTGCCAGGTGAGTGCTGCCTGCCAGGGAGGCAATGGAGGGGAAGCGCTGGTCTGTGCCCTGGCAGAACTCACAGATCAGAGGGGCAGAGAGACACCTGGGAGCCCACGGCGAGAGCAGCATCATGACGACACTGTGGGAGCCGAGGAGGCACCGACCTACCCGGCCGTGCCAGGAGGGCAAAGGAGGCTTCCTGGAAGGAGGGCCCTGGAGCCGAGTCTTGAAGAGAAAGCAGGGAGCCAGGGTTCAGGGTTCGGAGGGGAGGGGAGAGAAGATGTGGTCATCTGGACAGAGGGAGCAGCCCAAGCAAAAGTCCGGAGGTGAGATAATGCAATGAGAGCCCGTCTGAGGGACAAATGCTCACTTCTCTGAAGGCATCAACCACAGGGTGTGGACTTTTCCAGGGCCGCCTGTTATTATGTCTCCCCAAAATGCATATGTTCAAGGGGCACCTGGGTGGTTCAAGTCGGTTAAGCATCCAACTCTTGATGTCGGCTCAGGTCGGGGTCTCACGGTTCGTGAGTCTGAGCCCTGCTTTGGGCTCTGTGCCGAGAGTGCAGAGCCTGCGTGGGATTCTCTCTCTCCCTCTCCCTCTGCCCCTCCCCTGGCCTCTCTCTCTCAAAAATCAATTATTATTTAATTTAAAAAACCCTCATATGTTCAAGTCCTAATCCCTGGGCCCTCAGACTGTGACTGTATTTGGAGACAGGGTCTCTAAAAGGGTAATTAAGGAAAAATGAGTTGATCGGGGTGGGCACAAATCCAATCTGACTGGTGTCCTTGTAAGAAGAAGAGGTTAGGACACCCAGGCACACACAAAGGGAAGGTCACGTGAGGACACAGGGGAGAAGATGCCCATGTCCAAGCCAAAGAGAGAGGCTAAAGGAGAAAACAACCAGCTGACAGACTGACCTTGGACTTCTAGCCTCCGGCACTATAAGAAAATGTGTTTCTATTGCTGTTTAAGCTCCTGGCGCGTCTGTGGTACTTTGTTATGCAGCACGAGCAGACTGATACACTCTGCCTAATTTCAAACATTCCCTCGTTCCTCTTCCCTGAAGGTCACTCATGCTTCCCAGCTGGTTGGCCTTGACGTCTGGTTCTGAGCACGTGGCATACCCGGCTTTGAGAAAGATGTGCTCAGAATGGAGAGGGAAGAGTGGGCACAGACCAAGCCAGCTCAGGCCCAGGCGTGGGGACTGTGACAGGTAGGCCCCTCCCCGCCCCCTCATCAACTGTTTTCCTTACTCTTCTTTCCAGGGTCCTGTCTGGAAAACCTCCTCTCGTGCACAGCTGCTGTTTCTGCCTGCCCAGCAAGCTTCCCCCTTCTTCAGATTCACCTTGACTTTCCTCTGGAAACAACTATCCATCCAGGAGGTTTGGCTGGCAGTGACCACACCCACAGCCTTACTGGCTTGACCTGGTCAATCAGAGCCCCAGTGACAGGTTCAGGGATGTGACCCAATGTGGGTTCAAGAGCCAGGCCTGGAACTTTTAGGAAGAAAAATCCATTTTCTGATGGAGGCATTAATCCAATGTCTCAACTCTGTGTCTTCATGTAAAGAGCCCACCTCAGAATGGTACGAAGACAAATGAAGGCAGAGATGAGAGGGAGGAAGGGAAGGAGAAGAGAAGGCGGGTAGGCAAGGAGACGGGAGAGTCCCTAACAGCCCTGGATGCCTCAGTTACTCAAGACAATACAGTCCCTTCTGCTGATGGCGGATGCACTAGCCAACTGGCACATCGACCTTGCTACGCTGCCTACAACGCACAGGCCAGCCCCCCAAAACTAGCTTCCGGACACCTGCCATCTGGAACTTGAGGGTCATCTGTAGGCGTCTGGGAGTCCCTGCATCTTGCAATCGGTGGAGAGACCTGGTGGATATACCTCTCTGGCCTGTGCGACGGTCCACCCCAGACAGAACCCCAAGTCCTGCCGGAAACACAAGTCCTGCTATTAGACCCAGACACGCCAAAGGCAAAGAAATGCCATGTAAGACGGAGCTCACTTTTGGAAGCTGGGTTAAATTCCAGCACCACGAGGGTGTCTGGGCCCTGGGGAGGGCGTCCTTCCATCTCCTGGTCCCTGGGGACATCCTTCGGCACCGAGTCCCCGCTGGAAATGGCAGGGTCATCTCTGGGGTAACCCCCCAGCGCCTGCTCCTCGGGCTCCGAGAGCACATCTTCTTCGATAGAGTCGTACTCGTCGCTGGAACCATCTTTTTGTTTCCTTTGTCGATTGACACTAAGTTCCAGGCTTTTTCTTAGCTCCTGCCAAAAGTCAAGAAGAGAGGCAAAAAATAAAAAGAAATATGTTACTTTGAGAAAAAGTCATCTGAATATAGATCACTAGAACTAAGGGACAATTCCCAGCAAATGGACATTTACCAACATCATCTCGACACACGTGTTGTCATCACTCTGAAGATGAGAAAGGCAGGGACAAATCAGCCACTCCCCAGCAGGGAGGTCATTACAGTATTAATTGTGGTCATAGGCCTGGGATGTCACGGAGAGTGTGTGCACGCATGTGCTTATGCATGTGTGCGTGTGTGTATGTGTGCATGTGTGTATACATGTGTGCATGCATGTGTATGCGTATGCATGTGTGCGCGTGTGTATATGTGTGTGCATGTGTGTGCGTGCAAATGCATGTGTGTATGCGCGTGCATTTGCATGTGGGTGAATATGTATGTGTGTATGCATGTGCATGTGTGTGCGTGTGTGTACGTGTGAGCATGTGTGTGCATGTGTGCATGTACGCACGCACGTGTGTATGTGTGTGCATATGCATCTGTGTGTGTATGCATGTGTGCATGTGTATGTGTGTGCACGTGCATATGCACGTGTGTCCATGCATGTATGTGCATGCGTGTGTGCGTATGTGTGCGTATGCATGTGTTACAAACGTTTTGGTTTGGGGGCTCTGGGGGAGTTTCTCAGGCTCCCAGAGGCCTGAGAAGGTGCACTTCTAATGAGGTGACATTAATGCTGCTGGTCCAGAGGCCACACGTTGAATATGAAACCCCAAAGGCCCCCAAATGATCCTGAAATTCCAGATGGTAAAATGTCTGGCAGAGAGTCGCGGGGGGCGGAGGGCTATCCTTTGCATTGAAGGATGTTCGGAAGCGCCTAAGATCGCATAAGATTTAGCACTTAACCATAACTGCCTGGCCATTTGTTTCAACCCGTGTTTCATCTCCGTGAGATGGTAGACTTACAATCTAAAGGCCAAGCGTGAAGATCTACCCTTGGAATGACCAGAAAACTGATGACCAAGCGGGATACTTTTAAAGGGAAGAAGGGCACCAGTCCACTTACCCTGGGACAAGAATGTTAAACAGACTCTCAGTGCAAACCAGTGTGTCCAGTCAGCCTCGCTATACTTCCACCATAGCTCGTGTTATCTAATATGGCTCTGAGAAAGCGAGAAGCAATCAACGTTGCTTGCTGGATGTGTGTGGTTGGCCAGTAAACTCATTAGCCAATGTTACTCGTGGTGTGCTGAATAATGACTCCTCAAAGATGTCCACGCCTTAGCCCCTGGACCCCGTGAATCAGTGACAGTTCATGAAGGGCAGAGAGGCACTGGAATACTTTGATCATGTTAGATAAATCATTGTAAAAAGATGATGGTAGAAATATGATGGACGCCAAATATGGTGCCTGTGGGGACTCGGGACATAAGGGGCACATTAGGGAAACCAGGGAAGGAGGAATCCCCATAATGTAGTGGCAGGATCTTAGCTGAACCGGCTCTACGGTTACGTGAGAAGTGGTACGTGGAACTGAGATTTGATGATGTGGGAAACTCTCGGCCTATCTGGGTCGCACAAGACGCTAAAATGAGGAGATTCACGGTCAGAAAAACCTGCTCTCGAGAAAAGCTGGGGCAAGGCTGGATAATCTTTTGCGAGCACTTGAGAAGGTTCCAAAGTTTGGCGTATTCAATCGTACCGAGGGCTCTCTGAAGACATGGGTCTCCTGCATCCTGTCAGGCATCGCAGCAGAAGCCAGGGATAGAGGGAAATTCTCTAGGGAAGATGTGTGAAGCAACCTCTTGTCTCATGGAGGGAATCCCAGAGAAGTACATAGGAGACCATATGGTTTTTGAGAATGGCATGCATACCAGCGGAAACACTCGCAGCTGGCACCGAAAGGGAGAGACGAAGGACGGAATCCAAGAAGGCTTCGTACTCTCCAAATTCTACAGTCAGGGAGCGCTGGGCTCTGCGCTGACAGTGTGGAGCCTGCTTGGGATTCTCTTTCTGCCTCTCTCTGCCCCTCCCCTGCTCATGTTCTCTCTCTCTCAAAAAAAAAAAAAAAAATAGATCACTATGGCTCCTGAATACCGAGTGGAATTTGAAAGTGGTACAGCAGCAGCAACAGCGGGGAAGGTAGAGGTGGCTGCAGAGGTGGGGACAGCAGGTGCATTTGGAGATGCATTTTGGAGGCAGAGATGACCAACGATGGGCTAGAAATGAGTAGGGTATACAATGATGGGCTAGAAATGAGTAGGGTATACAATGATGGGCTAGAAATGAAGGGTATACACCCTTTGACCAAGTCTCTATGAGAATTATCCTTCACTGTTAATATATAAAGATCATTGAGGGATCGTTGATAATAGAGAATGATCTCAATATGCAAAAAGAAGACGCGGGTTCAATGGCACGTCGAGCGGGCACCAATGGAGCCTCAAAAATGAGGTAGATCTCATGCACTTACTCAGAGAGATAGGAAGACATACATTTAAGCAAAAACAAGCACGTCAAAAAATGCGCATATACAATACATCCAATTTAAAAAATTCGTTTCTGTGCATGTGTGCAAATATGCATACAAAAAGTCTGGAAAAATGGGGGCGCCTTGGTAGCTCAGTTGGTTAAGCATCTAACTTCAGCTCAGGTCATGATCTCACTGTTCTCACTGTGAGTTTGAGCCCCGCGTCAGGCTCTGTGCTGACAGCTCAGAGCCTGGAGCCTGCTTAGATTCTGTGTTTCCCTCTCTCTCTGCCCCTCCCCCACTTGTGCTCTGACTCTCTCAAAAAATTAAAAAAAAAAAAAAAAGACTGGAAAAACAGTCACTAAATTACTAACAGTATTCTCTCTGGAGATGGTGTTAGGGGAACTTTCTTTTCCACTTTGTCTTACTTTTTTAAAAATGTTTATTTATTTATTTTTGAGAAAGAGAGAGTGTGAACAGGGGAGGGGCAGAGAGAGAGGGAGAGAGAGAATCCCAAACAGGCTCCATGCTTAGCACAGAGCCCAACACAGAGACCCTCAAACCCATGACTGTGAGATCATGACCTGAACCGAAATCAAGAGTTGGATGTTCCACTGATAAAGCCACCCAGGAGCCCCTACTTGTTATTATTATTTTTTAAATTATAAGCATATTTCCAATTTGTAATTAGGAGAAAATGATATATTTATATGTATGTTTAAATCCTGTCCCTCACTCTGGAAGTAAGTAACTTCCCCACAGGAGTGGTAGGGACAGTGGGTGGCAGACCCTGGACAGCCAGCTGTCTGACATGCTCCCTATTCCAGATCGAATCTTGTCCCCCCAAAGAGTGACTCAGAAAGCAGCAAGCAGTAGCGCTTGACTCAGGAAGATGATGGACCAGTTGTCTGTCTGACTTAAAATATCCAGTCAAGTGGTCCAGATGTCAAAACAACAGGCCATCAGGGCGCCTGGGTGGCTCAGGCAGTTGAGCGTCCGATTCATGATTTTGGTCATGACCCCAGGATCATGGGATTGAACTCCATGTCAGTCTTTGCACTGAGCATGAAGTCTGCCTAGGATTCTGTCTCTCTCCCTCTGCCCCTCTCCCTTACTCAACTGCTCGCTCTCGCTCTCTCTCTCTGTCAGGAAGGAAGGAAGGAAGGAAGGAAGGAAGGAAGGAAGGAAGGAGGGAAGGAAGGAAGGAAGGAAGGAAGGAAGGAAGGAAGGAAGGAAGGAAGAAAGAAAGAAAGAAAGAAAGAAAGAAAGAAAGAAAGAAAGAAAGAAAGAAAGAAAGAAAGAAAGAGAAAGAAAGAAAAATAGGCCACCAATTCTAACAGGGAGAAACTCAGGGACTATAGCACCTGGGAACCTTTCTCATGAAAAAAACCCTCCCCAAACGCAATCCAAACAATGCAGGGTGAAACCAAAATAAAGAACACGAAGTTGGAGACTGTGGTAAAAGGTCTGATGGTAAACACAGAACCCATTTAGAGACCAAATAAATACTAGACAATTACGCACACTTGGGTCATGGGCCAGAATGCGCTGCTCTAAACCTAAGGCCTGAGCTTAGCTAACAAAAGCCAGAGGAGGGCAGGCAGTGTGGGCGGACTCCTGACCTCATTTTCCATAGCAGCCGGTTATTCCAAGTCCACCTTAAATGGAAACACAGAGTTTTTAAAAATGGCAGCACTGACCTGTTACTATTATTTTTCATAATTTATTAAACCGGAAATATTTTTCAAAAATTTTAAATGTTTAGTTATTTTGAGAGAGAGACAGAGGGAGAGGGAGAGGCAGAAAGAGAGGAAGAGAGAGAATCCCAAGCAGGCTCTGCACCATCAGTGCAGAGCCTGATGTAGGGCTTGAACTCACAAACCGTGAGATCATGACCTGAGCCAAAATCAAGAGTTGGATGCTTAACCGACTGAGGCACCCAGCTGCCCCCGATGAGATATTTTTAAAAACCTCTCTTGTGATCAAGGAATGTGAATTTCAGGGCACCTGCATGGCTCAGTTGGTTAAGTTTTCAACTTCAAATCAGGTCATGATTTCATGGTTCCGGAGTTCAATCCCCACGTTGGGCTCTGTGCTGTTGGTACAGACCCTGCTTTGGATCCTCTGTCTCTCTCTCTCTCTCTCTCTGCCCCTCCCCTCCTCACGCATGCTTGCTCACTCTCACTCTCTCTCAAAAATAAAAGAATATTTAGAACCAAAAAAGAAATTTGAACTCAGTCATTCCTCCCATTTCAATTTGGCTTTTGCTTCAGTTAAATTAGTGCAAATTTCAATGCCTTAAGTGTATTTACAAAATACATATGAAAAAAAAGCCTAGATTCTGCAAGGCTGGTATCTTCACAAAGGAAAATAATACAGTTGCTCGCACTGGGTGAGCTAACTTTAGGAACCTATGCTCTTATAATGCCTGCGTGATTGAAAACCATCTGTTCAGGGGCAAAGGGGAGACAGAGTAAGTAGCAATACTCCCCTGAGAAAGCCGTTCAAAATCTTTCCATCTGGAAAGATGAGAACCTTGGACTGGT